GGAGGGAATGAGGGAGGAAAAACAGTTTGCTAAGAGCCAGATGAGCCTGAAAAGAGCAAGAGAGAGGCTACTGTAAGGTGGGAGAGGAAAGCTAATAGAAGTGAGAAGAGCTCTGAAGTAATATTTTTTTCTCAAAGTTTTATCTAAGGCCCATCTCTCCAACATAACTTAATCCACAGACAGGCTCAAGGTCCTTTGTTATTTACCTTGTCCCTACTTCTGGTCCCTCTACTGATGCCCTGTTTTTCAAATAACCATATTCTACCACACCCCACAGGCTAAATACAAAGTCAAGTGAGGTTTTTTTTACAGTCTCCAATCTTCCCTTTCTGTACCCATTTCTAGTCTCAGTCAAAATTCCTCTTCCCCAAATACTCAGAGTCCTAATGCTCACTCTTTCTTTGATTCTCCATCAAAGCTCGTTCTCGGGAAACATCTCACAAATTCATCAACACAGTCTAGTAAAGACTTGCTGGGAATCATCCACACACCCTCTGCCAGACTTTTTTTTTTTTTTTTAAATGAAGACAAAATCTTTAACCAAAAAATAGATCTCTAATAATGAAATTTCACACAACACTCAATTGATTAAAGGTACATTTTGGTCATGAAGAGACACTTGGAGTCATCATAAAGTAGGTTTATACTCAGAACCACATTGGTAGCAGCCTGTCCTCCACTTGGCAAGCTAATTGCAACCCCTATATCAGTCCCGTGTATGTGTGTGTGTGTATGAGCTGGGTGTGTGAGTGTTGGGTGACATTTGCACATACCCAGTGCTTGCCAGTCCTCCACACAGGGACATAGTTTGGTCCCTGCTCAATAAAAAGAGGCCTAAAGCATAAATCTTACACTTAGAAATTTGCCACTGCCATGATGATCACAATATATCCCAATCCCTGCTCTCATTCTCACTTTTGTCAAACCACAAAGAAAATAAATTGTTATTACAAACCTGAAATAAGCCCCACAGGAAAAGGGCTCCATGGGGCACAGAAAGCAAAGAAGATTCAAGCTTCGTTAAAAGTTGACTTTTCTCTAGGAGCCTTTAGAGGATCCTTGTTTGGATGATAGAACAACCAAGAAAAGTTCCTCTGGATTTATGTCACTTCAGAGCCTGTTGCCATGGGAACTACATTTCAAAATCTTCTCAACTGGGGCTTCACTAAAGTCATGTTCCCTGAAGAGCAGATGAAGCCCAAGCAGGAAGCAGTGTAGGAAGAACTATTCTTAACTGTATTCCTTTAGTTACAGAACTGCCCTCTTTCCAAAACTCGAATCTCTATATAGTGCTTCTTTATTTTATTTATTTCTATTTTGCCATCTTTTTTTTTTTCTAGTCTATTTATGTCATTCCACATGTGATACATGTAAATGCAAAACAATGTCTCATGCAAAGTATTAACCCTGACTTCTGGAGGTACGAGGTTGGCCCCAAGGGCACTGACCATCACACCAGAGGAGGCCACACAGAAATTCTCGTTTCATAAGAAGAGGTGCACACCTGACTAAAAAGAAAAGACAGCAGCTGAGAAGTCTTCATTTGAAATGGCCTGTTAGCTCCCAAGAAAGCAAATATCAAGAGTTACGTGGTTCTGCATTATATTAAATCTCAATTAACTTTTATTAAGCATTTTCAACTCATCAACATACTAATTTATACATAAACGATATATGTATTTAACATAGAATTTTAGAATTGGAAGGTACCTTGGAGTTCTATATTGGGAGTAATCAACATGTATTAAATACTTGTGAATAAACCTGGGTACCAAGCACTTTGCTGGTAGTTTTATATATATTAAGTATTTTATAGAAAATTAATAATCTACAGAAAGTAAAGATTTAGCATACTTGAAAATATCATTTAATGGATTCAAGAATACTAATACTAGTAGCAATATTTTACATTTTCAAAATGCTTACTGTGTGTCAGGAACTATGCTATGTGCTTTCTTTATACATATAAATTCCGTTAATTTTTGCAAAAATCCTTTGAAGTAGGTGCTATTATTATTATACTCTGTACAAGAACATTTCCTTGGATCAAAAGAATCAGACTTGCTTGTATCTTAGTTATAATAGCTTGCTCTCCTTAAGTCTCCAGGTATTTGTAGTGATGGAGGAATTAACAGGATTTACTACGTTAATAATCATGAAGGAAGAATGGAGAGGAAAGGTCAAATATCAAAGGTGACTAAGACTTCAATCCCAGGACAGAGAAAAAAGGAAGTAAAGAAGGCAAATAAAGAGCTAGAGTTTAGACCTGACAGTCAAGTGCTGAAAGTACCTCTAAAAGGGATGTCAGGAAAAATACTGTCAGAGAGAGGAAGCTTGGAAGAAGACACGTACTGGGGAATCACATAAATAGCAGTGATCTCAGAGAAAGTGAATGTGGTGGCCCTGTGTAGGCTTTATAGTCAAATGATCTAGGCTCTAATCACATCACTCACTGGCTGAGTAAGTGTTTAGTGTTTGCATCTCAGTGACCCTTCTGTAAGCAGAGGTATTAACACTTAACATATAGGATTGTTGTGAGGATCAACTATCATAATGTTTCACAAGTAATTTAGAATTCATGTAGTGTCACAGGATCCTTATTCTTCCATATCTCTTTTTACCTACACGCTCAAATTCTGCCTTTTACTTTTCAAGCACTTCTTTGGGATTGAAGTTCCCTAGCCCCAACTATATTATAAGTGGGTACAAGGCAAGATCATATGTTGAAATACTGTTTAACTTACATATCCAATATTAA